CGATTTTACGAAGGCATCTAAACGTTCAGATGTAAATTTCGATTTACATAACAGTCTCTACTTATCTGTATTGTTAAGAAAATCGTATACGGCTTATTTCTGTGATATACATATGTGTTGTTCTGTTAAGTATTTGCTATGTTGACACTTGACATGTATACTTTTATAATGTGATTTGTTTGAAATATGCATAATTACACTATTGACGAAGGGCCTTCATAAATTTCGAAACGTCGACTCGAGTTGTTTTTTAAGGTAGTATTTTTACATTGGTACTACCCACACTGGTAAAGACAGTTTTAGTATATATTCACATTAATATAGACAGCCTTTCCCAATGTATGGCTCTATCAGTCAGCCACTCAGCCTAAAACATGTGCAAGGGGCCCCTTACATAAAGGCAAGCCAGTCCAGGTAACTAACCTGGTTATAGCCCGCTTTCACTGGATGAATGTCTGTTTACATGAGCCTCTTTAGATGAACATGCTTGCCAAAACAAATCACCCAGACTGAGTTGTATAATTTCCAATAAAATAAACTGACATATTTTTGCAGACAGTTTTGAAATGTAACTTACAAAAAAAATCACAGAGATCTTTTAATCCATTGAGCCACAATGCGCCCCAGTATGCCCTACTTATTTTTTTTGCTTGCTTAACGCCAGACGCTTTTACTCCTCAGTAGGGAAGCTCTGCAGCTTAATGGGTTAACCAAAAAATCTGACAATGTCTCTAGTTAACCCATTGAGCCGCAATGTGCCCTAGTGCGACCTACTTATTTTATTTACTTGTCTACCACCAGCAGTGGTGTAACTTTACTTTTTTGACCACTTGCCCTCAGGGCAAGTTGGTCATAAAGATTAGTTGCTCTGAATAAAATTCACTTGCCATCAGACAATGGCTGCTTGGGGTACCTAGGTAGGGGGTATAAATTAAGGGGACAACATGTCAACCTGTTCTCCCACTGCGCTATATGGCTATGTTATACTGCCTCAGATATAGCTTTGGTGCACAAAAAACGAAATTTGAACCAAGTCCATGCACTATAAAACAAAATATATCTGACAATGAATAGTGGCAAGGCAACTTGCCCAATCGGACAGCAAGAAAAAGTGCTTACTTGCCCATCATGATATTCACTTGCCCCAGGCAAGTGTTAAGTTACACCTCTGGCCAAATGATTTTACTCGTCAATGGGGAAACGCCAACTCTACAGCTTTATGGGTTAATTAATATTCAAATTGATTGGGAAATGTCATTTAGAAGATTACATTATGCCTAAACAAAGCATGAATACTGTGCCAAATCCCGGGTCATTGTATATAGTTTATATGGAAAATCTTAGTTTGGCATTAGCAACATTTTGGGTCAATTGTGGCAGTATCTTAAGTTTATTTATTTAGCTTTGCCAACTAGGTGTCACCACAACAGCGTGTGCCAATTACTGTTGGCTCTTATACATCACCCACCCTGTCAACTTTCCCTGTAGGAGGAAACCGGGATACCTGGAGAAAACCCATGACTTTCGACAGAGTGTTGACTTTTACTCTTCACATGAGGACTGGGTTTGAGTCGCATTGAGAAAGTTCTCACTTAGGCTTGAACCTGCAGCCTTAGAGGTGAACGGCAAGTGCATATAACAGCTTTGCCACCGAAGCCCCCCATCTTCCTAAAAAAGTCCAGCTCAGTTCTATATTATAAAGTAAAAAACAAGTTGAAATATATAGAATATAATAACAAAGTCTGGATCTCACCAAAACTGGGCCAGCTCAGGTACACAGGTGCCATCACCTCATATAAACAGCCACTAAATCTACCTTGCTGGATTATATAGAATGATATTTTTCAATTAGGAATTTTGGAAAAAACAGTTACAAGTTATGCACCAGTATTTTAAACAGTCTTTTACCAGTGAGAATAGTTGTATTGGATATTTGGATGCAGATGTTACTTCAATTGTATGCTAGCCTTACATTAAACATGTCAAGTGAAAGCATTTGAATTTTGTATTTCTTGCTTTGTACACTAACCAAAAATAGGAAGTTTATTGTCAATCAATCAATAATTTGCTACCATTATATATCAACCTTAATATGTATATTTTTTTTTTAATAGAGATTGTATTTAATATGGATTCATTATATATCCTGATCCTGAATGAAAAGTTATTAATAAAAGCTTCCCAGCAGAAGGCAAGTTGTCTAAACAAGTGGCAATATATATAATCATTAATGGCATTTTAAGTACTGCATAGTCCTATTTGGAAAATGTTATTCTTTTGCTGGAGAGTATGTTTATGGATTAACAAACCTGACAAGGAATGGAGTTGCTGACTTGTGGTATGAAGCTTGTACTTTTAAATTTTAACCAATGGACTTGTATGACATGCTTGATTGAGCAGTGACAATACTACATGCAGTACAGGTATATTATACTAACCTGTAAATATTCTACATTGAAGAGAATGTTAACCTTTTATGTGGCAGTGGGCTCTACCTTATTATTTTTTCTGTCTAATGCCAGACAATTTTACTCATGCAGGAGAGAGTGTTGCCACTCAATGGGTTAAAGCCAAATTTCTGTAGATGGAAATTTTGAACAATAACTATGTTATAAGTACTGTGCCGGGAATGGAACCTGTTGCCCTGTGATTCTGAACAGTTCCTTAACAGTCGAGAGTCCATCAAGCCCTGAGAGTCCAAGCGCAGAGAATCCATCAAGCTAACCAAGAGTTCATTTATACAATACTAGTGCCATCCCAGTTTATTTAATATACTACCAGTGACACACCATCATGGTATAATTATACAGAAAGTTATGGTTACATCTTGGCAAAAGAACTCTTTAAGTCAGAGGGCTGCAGTAGAATTGCAGGGCTGCAGGTTCAATTCATGCTGGCAGGCTTGTAATTGTATTAAAACTGTCAGTACCAGTGTGGATAGTACCAATGTGAAATTGCTGTGCCGAGTGGTTATATTACTACCTGAAAAAAAACCCCAGAAACTCAACGTTTTGAGCAAAGACCCTTCGCTTGAAATGTTGAGTTTCTGCTTGTTTTTTTTTTCAGGTATAGTAATATAACCACTCAGCACAGCAGTTGTAATTGTATTCCTTTGCAATTGCTCTCACATAGTTCTAAGGTACCGGTAGCTCTAGTTTATTTAATTGTCTTATTATATTGTAATGATATATTTTTTATTAAATTCCATGTATACATGTTCAGTGATGTAAGACTCACAAATTTTCTTCATTTTAATGCAGTGTATAGGTTGTGACATTAAATTGGTCGAAATGACAAAAAAAAATTAGTCGAAATGACCAAAAAAAATTGGTCACCTGGATGCATCTGAGAGAACCAATTAAAAATGGTCGTTTTAACCAATAAAATTAACCATTTTATTAATTGGTCAAAACAACCAAAAATATTTGGTTATATTAACCAATTATTATTGGTTGAAATGACCAATTAATTAATGGTTAATTTTATTGGTTAAAACGACCATTTTTAATTGGTTCTCTCAGATGCATCCAGGTGACCAATTTTTTTTGGTCATTTCGACCAATCAGTTTTTACAGTGCATGTTCTATGGCTGTAACAGACGAAGAAATTGAGGGATGGATTCCAAATGTAAGCGTTGCTTACTGCAACAATTACTGCACCGAAATATCTCCCATATCAATGATTTTCTCTTTCATACTATATGCTCTTCCGTCAATGGAAAGTAACTAGACACATGATCCTGCCATAAATGTGTAACTGATTACTTCACAAACCTCAATGACAATCTTATGAATAGTAGGTACTGGCAAAGGGGAAAAAAACTGACAGAAAAAAACTGGCAAAAAAAAGAAACAAAAAAGAGAAACTGGCAGCTCTGTTTTAATTTTTTTTCTCTAACTGGTCTCCAATCTTGTGAAGAATGGTTGTGAAGATTTGTCGTGACACGCGAAAAGTATTCTTAAAACGCTTTTCAGAATAGTTTGACCACAGATAGTCCAACTCCAACCAATAACTCCACTGTACTGATCTTTCAAGCCGACGAAATGAACGAATTCGGGGCATTTTCGCTTCACACAAATTGGAAAGCAGTGCCAAGCACAGCCGAAGAAACTTCCTTTTTCTATTAATTACCTAGTGCAAAATTTACAATTGCTTCGGACGCCTTTCTCTTCTAATTTTCAGGACTTGTTTCAAGATAATTGCTTTTGTGAATGCCGCATCTTTATTTTATAGGCCTTTATTTGTCCATCTTACGACCTGCAACACCCGCATGTTTTGATTTTCCAACCAAAATTCGACGCCTAAACTGCACGCAACACTTCCGTCGAATTTCCGTCGCATAATTGTCACACTAAATTCGACGAATTAAATTCGACTGAAATTCGACGTATAAACTAGGCCTTAGACAAAATACGTGACCTGTCAAATACAATGTAGTGATTAACGGTGATTTAAAGCACATTATATAATTGTACTGTATACAGCTAGGGTGTCCCAAAGGCAAAGAACTATTGAAATAACGTATTGTTAGAATTTGAATGCCTCAGCACTCTACTGAACACACAAGTGCATAAAAGCTTGACATAAGTAAATTTTATGCATAAAGAAACTGTTTAATAAGAAGCTGCTTTAAATTCCCAAGAGCAGAAAATCATACGCTTTACAAAGATATTTTAAGTTCTTAATCAGTCAAAATTTAATATATGCACCTTGTCAATATTTTACGCATCTTTGCGTTCAGCTTAGTGCATGCTCCTAGCATTCAAATTTAAACAATACGTTATTTCAATGGTTTTGGTTTTTGTGGGACACCCTGTATACACCCACAAGGCACAAGGAAGTTCTGATGTGGGAATTCAATTACAAAGTTTTCTGCGTAGAGGGAATAATCTCGCGCAATTGCAGAACCAACCAGAGTAATTAGACAACAAGCCACAATTCGATATATACTGTAGATGTTGTTATTACTAATTGTCGGATCACTTAATAACCGTAGGAACATTTCGTCCTCCATCCAACTGTGACCATTCTATTATCTTTGCTCAAATTTATATTCGTACTTTTAAGTGTCATACTGCCATTCTTATAAAATAGATATTTGGAATTTTAATAACGTCGACTTCCCAGCATTAAATACGGCTCTTTTACAAATTGATTGGCATTCACTGTTCGACAGTGCATTTAATATTGACGACGTTCATAACACTTCGCTTCCCTATTCCGTTCAAAACTGTTACAATCCAAGAGACAAACCATGGATGAATGGTGAGGTTTGTCAATACGTATAAGCGCAACCGCGCCTACTTCATCCATAATAAAAAACGAAATAAATACTCTTGGAAAAATTATCGTATAAAATGAAATTTAACCACAAACTTAATTAGACTTGCTAGACAAATCATATTAATTTAAGTTACTAAAAAGTGTGGTCTCTCTCGAAAAGCCTTTGTGCACGGCAAGTCAGATAATTCTAGAATACCAACTACATTAGTAAAGTATGATATAGTAATTAAAATATGGCCTAATTAAGATTTTAACTTAAAAACATTACAATGTTTTTCACCGTCATGGTGCAAAAATGTGATAAAAAACCATTATAATAATAACAAGACGCCTGCTCAAGGCGTTCGCTCCGTCGGTAAAGGGGAAGGGCAGCTGGGCAGCAACAGAATTGCTTGGGGGTGATGTAGGAAGTTGATGAGGCGTGCTTAGCACTTTATTATAACCTTGTACATACAAATCAGAAATGAAAGATATATCCCAGTACTTTAATTATACTTGGTTTAGTCTACAGTATATATTATTAATTAAAAAATTCATTAATAATTCACGAGGAAAATACAAAAGAAATGAATGTTTAATCAATGCTTGTAAATCGGATAAAGATTTGTCCTGATTTACATAAACGTCAGTTGTTTATTTTTAAAATTACTTCGCCAATGAATTCATAAGATGGGTATTTTTTGTCGGCGAGAGTTTGTATATCAGAGACAGATCGGATGCGAATGTTTTATCTAGTACTTATAGATCGTATACAGTTCTACTTCAAATGTATAAATAGTACACATGCTTGCACATCTGGTTCCCAGAAGGCTTGGGATAAGTATCATTGTGAAATAAGAAGGTGATATATAGTATCTGGTGTTCCATCAAATTTCCACTGTGTTTTATGTCAGTATTGTATTCTGGGTTGAAAATTTTTTCTTTTAGGATAGAGAATGTTTCAAGAGAACTAGTAACAGTTTCCAATATTGTTCAGGGACATAATTTATAGAACCCATTTGCGTGAGGATGAATGAAACAAATTCCAGTGCTACTATAAGCTTATGCCATACACCTATATACTGCATGTATATGCATGTAAATCGGAAAAGATAAACAGAATCAGATACATGCACCATGCAGTTAGTTCTTGTAATTTTATAGCCAGTCGAAATTGTACCTCGAATATGATCAAAGAAACTGTCTATGGTATTTTCTGAAATATTTTGCTTTAATCTAAATTTAGAAAGATGGCAGACCAAAACGGACGAGCGGTCATGTTAGATCCAAGACGAAATCAAACTATAAAAAGAAAGAAACTCTTCGAAGAAATGTTATTGAAAGAGATGCCAGGTATTTAGTGATAGCGGATAGCAGTGCACCATACGAGATTGTTGTGTATTGTTGGAGTATATCCAAGTTATTTCTGACAAACGTACAATACATGCAGCATCTTCGACCCACTATTTCCTACGACAAGGTTATTAAAACATTGCAATATCGATAGAAGGCGCAATAAAACAATCACTTTCATTATTTTAGTATTTATCTTATAGGCACCAGCCGAACAAATGAACCAATGCACGCGGTTCTTGAAGGTGAACTTGGTGAAAGTGAAATGGTAGAGGGAAGAGAAGCTCAGAATGTCAGAAATCATGCTTTAATACATTATCTTGCAACATTGGCTAACTCAAACAGCACCAAAGATACATTTGATTTCGATTTTGTTGAATCACTTCTTAACAATGGGGCAGATATGAACAGTACAGACAAAACTGGACAAACTGTGTTTCATGAAGTGGCAAGATCTTGGAATATCGATGTTGCGACATTTCTCATCAAACATGGTATAAACCTTTTCCATTTATTTTTGCATATTGATCCACAGATTGTATAATTTTTGGTAAAAAAATACTCTACATGCATGCTTTACGAAAAGTACTCAATTTTCAAAGAATATATACATAGAAAATTCCGAAACTTTATGAACAATTCAATTTATGTGAATATAATATATGCATGGGGATAGTTTAGTCTTCTGATTTCTTGAACAATTAAAATTAAACTTTCGAGTTCAAAAGGCCTGTTTTGGCGAATTTGGCCAAGCACATGCACAAAAATATAAAACGTGAAGGTTTAAAATGTTATTTGAATTAATAGGTGCAAATTTGAAATGTGCGGAAAAAAACAGTTAGATGTGCCATGAGCTCGAGTTCGCAGTTCACACATCAAATTGGTATGCGTGTTTGGTACATGTTATGTTATGTCATGCTCCTTTTCTATAGGGTCAACTTAATACACAGAGTGTGAGTGTATTAAAAATAGACCATTTTGAAATGACCATTTTAACTGAAATTACATAAATTTTATAAAAACATGTGAATATGAGTAGTTTATAACGGAGTTCTGATTTCTTGAACGTTAAAAATTTTTTCTCAAAATTAAATTTTGAAATGTAAAAGGAATGTTTTTGCCTGCAATTATCTTTCTTCGAACACAAAAACAGAAGTGTTCGCATGAGTTCAGTATAAAAATTTGATGTTACAACTATACATGTTGACTGTTGCCTTTTTAAAGCCGGAAGCTGGTCCAAATGAGTATCGGACGGTGTCGACGAAGTTCGACGTGTTGCAGCTGATTACGTTCGTTTCATGCGTGGCATAATGTAGATTTTTCGTTGATGTCTACTTGAAGGCAGTTTTGTACAGAATGAGCTCATGGGTGTCAAGTTTGTTTTTTTTTGGGGGGGGGACGAATATCTAATTATCCCCCCCCCCCACACACTTTTTGACATGTTTAATGAAATTTTGTTTCTTGGTTATCTAAAAACCTAATGCATGGTATGCTGTTCATCAAAAATTGTGATTGAAAGGAAGACATTTAATAAGAAGAAGTACAACGTATGATCTTTCTGTAGCCGCTCGGAGCAAGTACTGATATCTCATATGTAAAATTGTAAATACTTAAAAATAATTGCGTTTTAACTGTCTCGTCTAACCCTACAAGGTTATTACAGTTAGCTTGCACCTTCATATTATGTAATATTTAATGAAGAGAAGCAGTGGCGGATATTAGGGGGGGGGGGGGG